ACACAATTATTTAATTACAATTTTCATATGGTATTTAATCAATTAATATTTTTAATTTACTTATTACTATTTCATATTATTATTAATGTAAATATTATTTTTATACAATAAATTCGTTAACATTATATATAATTCTGGTTTAAAAATATACTCGCTATAAACAATTTTCATGATACGACTGAATTATGTTTTTTTTTTAGAAAAATCATTCTGTAGCTTTATAAAAATTCAAATCGGCGAATCATGGGGCCCATTCCATCAAAGATGCTGATGATCATCATCCATTCTGTACGTACTGTATTTATACTGTATTTATACTGTGACCGTGTTTCGAGCTCACTTTTTCGATCGGCCGTTTGAGTTTGATCTCCTTATTACTCCATGGTCGTAATAATAGAAGCTAGTAGCTAATGGCCGCAACATAGACTTGCATATCGCATAATGCATAAGTGCATAAGGAAATCAATCAATCTTCTTTTCCATGGAATGGGAGAAAAGGAAAGATTCTAATTAGTTGATTTATTTATGCACTATGCGTTATGTGTCGGGCAAAAGTCTGTGCTGCGGCCTGAAGTTTGACAACCGATGGGTTTGGAACATTCTCGATTTAATTACGGAACTGCCAACATCTAAAGGAAAAAATAAGCTTAAGCTAATCCGTTAGGAATACCCCCCCCCCCCCCAGATATGCATAGGTATATGCATATCTAATATCATGAATTACAATAATAAAGATATTACAAATTATAAAGACATTGTTGATTAAATAAGTCTTGAGTAAGTCATTTTGCAACAATAATGGGCAAAAATAGAACTAATAGCGAATTTGATTGGACGCATTGATGCACGTTAAAACCGCTGTACATACATAAAATAACGTAAATATGTGTTTATAAATAAATATAGAAATCGATTAAATTGTAAAATACTCAATACATTATTTATTGTATTATTAGGTAAAATAGTGTATGTATTTTATAATTCGAAATATTCGCATTTTATTTTTATACTCAAATCAATATACAACGGCTTTAATATGCAGTGGCCTAATTTTCACGAATCAGAATGTAAGAACCAATTACAGTCGAGTATTCCCTTTTTACAATCGAACGATAGAGGAATGATCAACTGTTGTAATTGATTAGTTTTTTCTGATCCGGTTTAAACTTTCGGTGGAAACTAAGCCAGTGCTTCCAATTGAATTCGCCATAATGTTGATTATACGAAAGAAAAAATTTTGGTGGTTTATTTCCGAAAAAAAAGCTATCAAAAATAATTATCGATGCGACAGATCTAAATTAAAAGCTATCGAAAGTAAACAAAAATCAAATATCAAACCTAAGTTAAGTTTGAGTCACTTTAAGTTCTATGAGTTTACATTTTATTAATTTAGTTATAGGAAACAGAGCTATTAATACACATTAATAATCAAAACAAGAAGTATGTATATATATTTTAGTATAAAATATTTCATAATTGCCAATTTTAGATATGTATGTGTATTATCCATTTCTACCAATGTAAATTAACATTAATTTCGGTTTAATTTATTTTTTATCTTTTTTTTCAAGAAAGAAAGTTGACTTAATTTTATAAAAATAATGCTGAATGAATCGGTAGTCGGAAGTCTCAAGTCTTATTAGTTTTAACCTAAATAGATGAGTATGATTTTTTTGCATATACTAGTTGTTAGTTGTGCATACAGCGAGTCGTTTAGTTTGACTAATGGGAAGGAAGAAAGTTAAATTTCGTCAATCTCAAGAAAATCTTAGTAGTCTTAATTGTACATACATACAGATTGGCCAACTTCTCTGATTCACCAATGAGACTTAGGACTATCAGTATCAACTGATTCATTGTAGAATCAGCTTAAATATAACTTATTCATACGTATTTCAATTAGTTTTCTTGTGCTTTCTAACTATTGGGTTGTCCGGAAAGTTCGTGCCGACTAACCTATATAATTTAATAAATGTATAATTTAATAAATGTATACTAAAATTTAAATCTGCGTTTCAATTTTCCTTCAAAATCGGCACTTTCCGGATAACCCAATACAATTGAAATAAAGGAGTACGAGAACAGAGTCAAATTTATTGAAAGGAACAAGAAGGATTAGAAATAAATTATAAAATTTACTACTAGCTAAATTATAAAATATAGAGCTAAAACTTATTTTCTATTAAGAATTTAATTTTGAATCATACATATTTAAATATTTTATCAATGATAATAAATAAATTTTTTTTTATCAAGAATATGCCTGATAAAGAAGAGATAAGTACAAAAGCAAAGCTTTCAAAATTACATTGTCCATTTACTTGGGAAATATTGGACAGTGTGATAAAACATTCCTTAGTTCATCAGAAGCAAGACGATGAAAATGACGAGGATGAAATAGATGACGAAAAATCTTATCCCTTAGAACAATTGTTAATATCTTTGTTCAAATGTTACAAAGCTTTGTTAAGTGCAAATAACAATGAAGTAACAAAAAGAATTGAAAAAGCTGGAGAAATTTTAAAACAGATTCAACAAAAGTACAGTATACAATACTTATTTTTTATATACAATATGTATTATTTTTTTAATCTATGTTATCATTGTATGATTATAGGATAGAATTTAATCAGATAATAAGAACAATTGAACATGTTTTTTATGCTACAAAATGCTTTATTTTGTATAATGCTGATGATATAGATGGACTAGAAGAGATATTGCAAAATGTTATTGATCCTAAAGATTTCAACGATATAGAATTAGGTGCGTTGTATGGCTGTCAAAGTGTTATATGGTCATGCTTAAATGATTTTGGTATGCACAAAGCAGTTGACATTGCTAAGAAAGCAGTGGAAAGGGATCAAAATTGTGCATTATGGCATTTTATTTTGGCAAAGAATCTTAGACGTCAAAGACGTACAATAAATGTTGCATCTAACGTATCAGATTTGGAAAAAGCACATTTTGAAATAGCATTTGCTATGTCTAAGAATGACAGGTTTGGAGTATATTATTTGCAAATGCGTATTGAAAGTTTTAACAAATATAATCGAGATAAAATTTATATGATGAAGAAAAATGCTAATGAAAAAGAAGTAATAAACATAGCCAAACAAATTTTAAAAACAAAACCAACTAATAATAAAGTGCTATTACGACTAGCTCTTATATTTCTACGTGCATCTTCGGATGAAAGATTATTTGCAAAAGAATGTCTTGATGCTGTACATAAAATATCGCCAAATAATTCTACATCTTTGCATTATACCGCAATATTATACGAGCAAAGCGGAGATTATAAAGTTAGTGTAATATAATATTATTGTACTATTTAGAAGAAATAATAAATCTAATTAAATTTTATATTTTATGAAAAAATTCTAATGATAATGAATAGATAAATATGAGTTATGCAATACAGATATATAAAAAAATGTAAAATATTTTTTATACTTAAATAAATTTTTATTCGTTGAAAAAATATTTTTACCAACTGCATTCTTTTCCTATCTATGCTTGTTAC